CATGTCATTCCCTTTCAGGTTATTATTGACTAAGCTCCAGGAGCCTCCCAGTGCCCCCATGGCTCCTCCGATCCCCCCACGGCTCTCCCAGTCCCCCCATCCCTGCAGAGCCAGGTCATCCACAAGGCTATTGGTCCATGCCCTGCTGCCCTGCCCTCCCTGGAGCACTTTATGCCCAGACTTCTTTCAATTCCCTGGGTCCTAAGCATATGCTTGCAGTTAATCCTGTGCTTACATTCTATCCCAAATAGGAAGAATTGGGGTCTCTGCGCAAATTCTCCTGCTGTTCAAGGCAGCTGAAGGGCTCCCTCTAATTCAGCCGAGCAGTAATCCTCTCTCTCCCTGCCCTCGTCTCCTCCTCCTCCTCCTCCTCTTCCTCCTCCTCCTCCTCCTCCTCCTCCCTCCCTCAGTTCTTTCCTCTCCTCCTCCTCCTCCTTGAGTGTTTTTGAGGTTTTGCTCCTTTCCCCTTCTTTCCTTCCTTCCCACTCACTGGGGAATCAGTGGGAAACCACCCGATTTCCAGGGCAAAGGAGACCTGGGTGCTTCCCAAGGGTGTCCTCCCCCTCCCCGCTCCTGCAGCACAAGTGCGTGAGGAGCCACCTGGGAGTGCAGGGAATTATAATCCGTGCAGGGAATTATCACCCACCCGGCGAAGGGCTGCCCCAGGCAGGTGCAGGCATGTCGGGCGAGGGGGTACAGCCGTGAAATAGGGTGTGGATTTGGGGTGGGAGGTGTGGGATGGAGGGGATGGGCGCCCACTCGAATCCTAGCACCGCAGCTGCTGGCTGGCACTTGCCGGGAGAAATGTTTGCCAACCGAGAGACGGTGTTTCTCCACATTTCTGTAATTAGAGCCGCACTGCAAACACAGCCAGCAAGGGAGAGACTGGGGCTCTCGCGGTCCCCAAAGCTGCTTGCAGCCACCAGGGCTGTCCCCAGACAGGCTCCGGTGTCCCGGCTGCCTGGCATGGTTCATGCCCCTGCTTTGCCCTTCACTTTTGGAAGATGCTCCAGGGATGTGACAGGGGAGGGAGGAATTGGTGCTGTAAACAGATTTTGCAGGGGGAAGGATGCTCCTTGTCCTGGCTCCCTCCTCCGCCCCACCACTCCAAATCCTGACGTATTTTTCCAGGCTTTCACCCTGGCACTGTTTATTTGCTAAGTGTAAAAAAACCCCCACCCAAAACAAACAATGGTTAAATGTGCAGCCAAAATTAACCCTCATCAGCCTGGGCTTTCCACCACGCCATCCCGGGGGAGGCCCGACGGGAGGCTGCAAACCTGGGAAGGACTCGGTGACATTAAACCACGTCAAGGACGTTGTTTCCCGACAAGAGCCACTTGCCACTCAGACGTGGCAGGAAAAGCTGTGGGGACTTGGTTCCGGGATGTGACACGCTCGGTTCATGGCAGCCACACTGGCATCCTCCCTGTCCTCACCGCACAGGGGGGGAAACTGAGGCACCGGGCAGGCTCGTGACTCACCCGCAGTCCTTGGGGCCGGGAGGATGGATGGGGCGAGCAAGCGGCTGCAATAACTCACAGCAATGCTGCAGGGAAGGCCGGGGACGGGCAGGATGCGGCCGCGGGAGGGGGCGCTGGCAGCGGCTGCAGTGGGTCTGTTTGGCTGGAAAACCTCCTGGGCATGGGGGGAGAGGAGCTGAGTGCCAAGGGCTTGGCCACACTCTCCCCCGTCGTTCGGGGCTGCAGCAATTCTCTCCAAAAGTCTGTGGCAATTCTCTCCCCGCTGCCTGTGAGGCCTCGGCAGGGACCCTGTCAGCTCAAGGGGGAGCCCCGAGGGGTGGGGACGGTCCCCACCAGCATGGGGACACAGGCAGAGCCTGTTTTGGGGTCTTGCTGCTGAGGCACCTCGAGGAAGCAGGGTGGGGGGATGCTGCCCATACAGGGTGGGGCTCTGTGGGGCTAGGGAAGGGATCAGCCCAGCTCGCACCCCTGGGTGCATCCCCCGGTGAGGGTGGGACCCAGCTGGGTGCCCGGAGCAATGCATCCACAGGCGAGGGTGGCTGATGCTTGATGGAGGTGGCATCGGGAGGGTGGGGGTGTCATTTGGGATGGACCTGGCCCCTGTCCCCCTCGGTAGGGAACTGTAGCTAAGCCATGGGGTTGGGGAGAGTCTGAGCTTGCTTGGGGGGGGAGACTTTGGGGTCCCCCACTTGCCCCTCACCCCCAAATTCACCTTTACCCCCCTCAGCCCTGCTCAAGCAGCAGGGAGGGAAGGATGGTGCCAGCCAGGGCTCGCAGGGGCTGAAGCCACGGGCAGGGAGCTGGCAGGGATCGGGCGTCCCTGGCCACTACCACGGCTTCA